AAATTAATGATAAACAGATATGTTACAATAAATTTTTAAATATTCTTTTGTGATGTCTTATATAATTTATGTATTGCATATTTTATATAATTTTACCATATAACATACCCATATACAGAAATATCATATACTAAAAATGAGGTAGTTAATAGTTCTAATGCCGTTAGAACTGATAAAATAAAGATTATAAGCTTTAAGGACGCTTTGAACCACATTGAATGAATACATCTGTAAATAATTACGCATTTTTTTTAATATATTTAAATTTGAATAATTATTTAATTGTTTCTATAAAAATAAATAAAAAATAAAAATGATTATGGAATGGAATGAAAATATTTTTTAATAATGTTTATAGGGTCCATTATAGTAGATTATAATTTTGAAAAAGTCATATGCATATATAATCTTATTAAAAAAAACCAGCCTGGTATGGGGACAGAAATATTGTTTATTCTTATTAATTCATTTCAATTGTTAATAATTAAATGTATATATATAAATATCAGAACGTAATTGTGTTTCATCGGACAATATTTTTTTTCTTCTTAGAAGGTTTAAGAATTCACAGTTACTATAAGTTTAAATCAAAATTGTGATTATATTAATTGTTCACAAACGAAATTCGTTATAAAGAGAACATTATCTTTCCATATGATCGATTATATGATTATATGATATGATGATTATATGATGATGACACTGTTTAGTTAAGTAGCAAATAAAATTGTGCAAACTAAGTATTTTACAACAAATATGCGAATTTAGTAAGTGATGTTTGTGTGATCTATTATCACTTTCATCTTTATGAAGAAAGTCCTTTCATTTGCCTTATAGTTTTATGACACCGTGAAGTAGTATCTAATCTGTTAACGAAAACTGCAAACAGTCTGATAATTGTGCGATTTTTCTCATCTCTGTTTGGGTACGAATATTTTCTAACAGCTTTAGATATATAATTGTGAGTACTTACACCTTATGTAAGTAGTCGTTAGTAGTATAATATGGACCTTTCGTAGTGTTTTGATTTGGAATCGGTAGATTATTACTTTAATTCATAACTGTTGATGGGCTTCAGCACATTATTATTAATGGAGTAGTTGTTGTTCTAATGATATTTTGTTCTATTTATTAATATAGGCGATCAAATAGATCCTTTTATAGTAAATATTTTTCGATGAATTTAATTTTATTTGGTTTGATATGCTAAATTTTCATCTATAGGCCACTGTTAATATGGCACATGAGTAACGATATTTAAATTGGCTAATTGGTTAAAATGGCCTCTAGAAATATATCTGTCATATGGAGTAGAGTGTTTGATAAAAAAGTGTTTTTTGTAAAGTTATTATTATTTTAGAGTATGAAATTATTAAACTGTGAACAGCTTTTTAGTTTAAATAGAAGACTCGTTGTTATAACCCAAAAAATATCTGTGAAGTACTAAAAAATGTGACACTATAATATTTCTTTTTATACGAAGACATTCTTTACTGGACTATGAGTTTGCTTAAGTCTGGTATCTAGGATTGTGCCCAAGTGGGGATATATCATCAAATATTTTTTGTCAAAATATTTTTGCTCTTCACTAAATTAATTATAATAAAAATTAGTAACAATTTTATTTATATACACAGTGATAGGTATGTAAATACAAAAATATGTAAATACTAAAATTGTTTACGTCACTAACTTGCTCTATAGTACTTTGCATTTGGGAAAAGCCGATTTGGAGCCGATTTGCTTCAACTATTAAGATACTAACAAATATACAAAATCTATGCTTTTCAATAATAAATAAATATATTCATATATATTCACATATATTTGTAATATATCCGAGATTGGAGATCTCCAATTGTTTATGTATGACGACGTTGAATAAGTGAGTGAGAAATACAAAACCATTTAGTAGTAGTAGAAATCGTTTTATAAGTTTTATTAGTATTATAAGTAGAAATCGATGACACCTCTTCAGTTGGTTAAATTAGTTTAGTATTACTGTATGTTATACACAAATATTATATATTCTAATTTAGCTTTTATTAGCACATTACTTTCCAGATCGATCGATGGTTTTGTCAGCTTAATATTATAAAATAATTCATTGTACAAACACATGTTCTAACCCTTAACTGCTTAGGCTTTATAGATTTGCACTGATCGCAGTATTGCCCTATTTCTGAGGCTACATAACTTTTAATGTGAATGTAAGTTTTGCATAATTTTTAAAAATTTATAGCTTCTTTTTTAATACATTATATTATTAATAATGAATCTATAGATTTATAGATTCGAACGCTTCTAATTTAGGTAGATTATTTTTACATTTCAATCTTCCAAAGTACTGGTTTTCATAAAATATAATTGAATTGAAATTTGATGAGATTTGCATAATATATTATATAAATGTACTGAACAAATGTATAAACGACTGAAAAACAAACCAAGATTATTGATGAAGTAATATAGATGATAGCTTCACGATAGTACGTAAAAATAAAATAGAGCAAACACTTCAAATATTTAAATCGTTTTTCACAAATTTAAAATTTATGATAGAAGAAAAGAAAAACGATATGTTTCTGTATCAAGTCACTGGAATGGTTAGATATGATAACCAGATTTATTTTCAATGGTACAAAAAGCCTACAGCTTATCCACAACATGTTATTCTAAACACGGCATCCAATTTTATTAGAAGAGTTTTGGAACTAAGTGATAGTATATTCCATAGCAAAACATGATATGTATTAAAATATATGTAGGTACGACTAAGAATAAACTTTAGAAAAGGATGGCTGGACATAAACATAGTTTGAAAAATAAAAGTGGTGTCGACCAAGAATAAGCTTAAGACAAGGATGGTTGAACATAAACATAGTTTGAAAAATGAAAGTGGTGTCAAAGCCAATACAGCATTGGCTGTAAGCCAATACAGCAGTGGCAGTAAGCCAGTTAACAGGACCACTTCTGATAATAAAATTGTCACCAAATTGATGTCGGAATAAATCGATTGTTAAGCGCGCTTTATGGCAAGTTGCGCCGTCTTGCGTTTTAATTGTAGTAAAACCTAATGTCGTCAATATTAAAATGATTAATGTTTGGAACTTGCTGACAAAAATTCAGTCAGCATGGCTCGATAGCGCTCGCCATTCAAGAAATAGGGACTGATTATGCTGGTAACGTGTAAACCGCACTAAACAGTCAATATTAATGGATATAATGGTAATTCGTTAACGGCTTGAGGATTATCTTCGCTCCATATACGATAATTTTGCTTATTGCAATAGCCATTTAACTAGAAATGAGTTTCATCACTAAACACTGTGCATTCTATGAATTCAGGAACAGATTTATTTTTTTCAAAGTAAATTTTCAAAATTTGGAAGCGTTATTGTAGCATTAAACTATACATTATGTATTATATACATAATGTACTATACATTATGTAATTGCCAAACCTTACAGAAAAGAAATATCAATACAGTTTGACATTCTCAGCTGTCAAGTTATAGTTATCAATAGCGATAGTACTCCGGCAGCTAAAAAAGCACCCGTTATATTGCATTTTAATATATAATTACCAAATATTCTTACATTTCTAATTGAAGTCTTCTCTTCTTATAACATTACAAGTTAAACTATCCCTTATATTATAATATGCGACTATAATCATAGTCGATCATAGTCGATCATAGTCGACTATAGTTAACCTAGTTAGTCTAATTTTACCTTAATAAGTAATATAATTAAAATTAGCTTTTATTTGAATTCCATACAAAATTTTATTATGTTATATAAATATACAATTATTTTGTATAAATCGATTGCTCCGAATAAAATTTTGTTCATTAGAAAAATCTCGTCGATACCGTAAATAATTGCAGTGCAATTGTTAAAAACGATATTGTATTAAACAAATCACACTCGATTTAGGCTAAACTGCCAATTCATCTGGCTTAGTAGCCAATACTCTCTCCCCACTGTCAGCGAGCCGACGAGCCATAGAGTCATCGAATCATCGAATCATCCAGTCAACAGCCACTGTAACAAATTATTGTATTATGTCCACACAACGATAATTTGTACTTGTGCCTGGCACCGACCGAACAAGCTTGTGAGTAATAATGAGAGTAAATGCACATTAACAGCATCTCAGTGTGAGAATAGCAGAGTCAACAGACAACACATAACACACACACACACACACACACGACACATGCGAAAACAATAACAACAATAGCTGCAGTCACAGTAGCCATGCATAGCCATTGTTGTAGCGGAGGCCATAGCAAATAGCTTGTTTCTCATTTTGTGTTGTGCTGTGTTGTGTTTTTGTAATTCGTGTGTGCGGCATTTTGTTTTGAAAAATTTTTGTTAATTTCAATCTGAAAGTTGTAATAAACGCAATCGTTCCGTTTTATTTTGTGTCAGACGGTGCTGAAGCAAACACAACATTTACTTTATTTATTAAAATATTTGTTTTGATTTTTGGTTTTTTAGTTGTTTTGTTTTTGTTTTTGTTCTTGGTTTTGCTTTATTTGTTTTTAATTTTTCTCACTACTCAATACGGAACTTTGGCCTCAGCCACTGTTGGTTGGGTTTCCTACAATAAATAGCATTTGTGCGTTGTTGGTATTGTTTTTGTTGGTTTTGTGATTTTAAAATTTTTGTAATGTTAATAATTTTTTTGCAATATTTTCGAATCGCTTAAATAAATTATTTCGTTTCAATTCATTTGTTGATTTGTTGTTAAGCAAAAAAGTTTCATTTTTGTGTTCTGGTCGTAATTAAACTGCGTCGTTTCTTAATAATTTAAAACATTTTGTTTTCAAAACTTATCAATTTTAAAAATATTAAAAGGAAATCATATATATATAAACATATATAGAAACATTTCATTTCAAAGAATTTTGTTCAAAACAATTATAAAAAAAAATTTCCAAAGTACAATTTATAAAACCGCAAGATAGTTAATTAAAATATTTATACTTAAAACCGCAGAAAATAAAAACAATTTTAAGTATATTGTATAAAAAAGTTGCAAAATTAATTATTTAAATTAATTGTGCTAAAGTGTTAAGTGCTTGGAATAACAAGAGCAACGTCTGAGCTTTATTGAAAATGGCATTCTTTCGCAAATGGAAAACCCACTACAAACACAAAAGTAAGATTTCATTTCTAATTACTAGTAGTTTAAATTCTAATATATAAGTGTAAAAAATATTAAGCAAATAAAAAAAAAAGTTATCTTTGGCTTAACCATAAATCTAATACCCTTCCCTCATATTGCTATTTGATATAAATCAATTATTAATTATTATAAATGCTACACTTCAAAGTGTATTAATTTTTCCAGTTGAGATTGTTTGGTACAGGATGCGAAATAAAACTTTTAATACGTCCATTTTCAATATTAAATAGGGCCGTCAAAGAAAAATTAATCTAGAAAGCCTGTAACCAAAAAACTTTTCATATCTCAGAAATGATTTACATAATACAGGGTCTTTTGCACTCTCTTTAGTCCTTAATCTTTAGTCCAAAAATACTTAATATTCTTAATATCAAATACCATTATTCGTATACTAACTTTAGTCCTTCAAACATCCTTTAATTTGATATGATGCAAAATCCTATTATTTTGTAAGCACTAATGGTGGTTAAACCACTGATATTTTTGAAAGAAAAATTTTTCAGTTACTATTTCTAGATACTTCAGTTATCTAAAAATATTTGTTAAATTTTTTTTTTGAAAGTCGATTTAAAATAATCTTTTTTAATAATAATTTTGTTTTTTTTACTGCCTAATTGGTCAATAGTTAAATAATAAACTTTTTTTAAAAATTTATTTACTATTGACCAATTAGCCCGTAAAAAAACAAAATTATTATTACAAAAAAAAACACTAAGATAATTTTTTTATGAAATAAATATAAAAGTTTATATTAATTAATTTTGTCTCATATTTTACATTTTATAAAATGTCAAATAATAATAAAAATATTACATGATTTAAATATTTATATAATATATAATAAAAATATTATACATTTTATATTTTTTAATTTTTTTAACTTATATTATTTCATAAAATATTAAATATCTTATTTTTATTAATGTTTTTATCTTATATTGTTTCATAAAATGTTATTATTAATGATTTTATATTTATTTACATTTTTATCTTATATTTTTCATAAAATATTAAAAAATGTACATTTATTAATATGTTTATTTTATATTTTTTTACAAAAATATTAAAAATTTTTTATTTTTTAATGTTTTTACCATGCCAATATTTTCGGTAAACGGTTTTTTTATCTCCCAGAGAAGACCCTCTGTCTCCCAACTTAAATGACTCCCTCTGTCTTCATTTTGCATTTTGTTTATAAAATCAAAGCCTTATGGTACAAGAAGACAACATTGTAATTGTTACAAATTTGTTTTTCATGTCATATATATAGTTTTTCATTAGCATGTAAACATATAGTAGGTTAGGTTAGGTTATGCAAGCGATTCTAAGGGATCCATTTAGAGCTATAGACCCCTTGTGTTACTGTATAATTCAATATTCAAGGGTTAGAACCACTTAGAACCTTTGACAAAGCTTATAATGCTATTCAGAGGGATGTCTCGCATTTCGCCAAGATCGTCAAAAAAGAAAGCCCCTAAAATGATAATACGGCTTCGCGCATATGCCGTACAGAAGCAAAGCAGATGGGAAGCACTTTCATCGTTCTCTCCACAACTGCAGCTTGTGTGTTTGGATATTCAGGATATTTAGTCTACTAGCATAGTTACCTAAAATACAAAACCTAATAAAAGACTGATATCTCTACGCTGCATCTCTGTATTGCATACAGATGCCTGCATATCGTTGAGTCTTCTCATCTTTTATTAAAAAGTTCGGCTCAGGAAGAACTCCTTACAGAAGAAGGAGTCTGGCTAGTTCATCTGCTTTGCAATTGCCGAAAATATCTCAATGACATAATCGGGAACCAAGATTACAGAAATATTGAACTGCGTCGATTTCTCATTTAGAGATGTGTAGCACTCAAAGAGTGTCCTAGATGTTAATTGAACTTAACTCAAGGACAGGCTATATCTTCTCTTATAGCAATCACTTCTGCCTGAAAAAAAAATATATTTATGCAAATGAATTTAATATATATGTACAGTTATATTCGGGAATTTTGAGCAACTAGTTTTAATAAATATAATTCTTAGTAAATTAAAAAAAATCTAATTAAGAACAGTAAGAAGTAAATATATTACTTATATTTTTTTTTGTTTACAATGTAACGTATAATCACAAAATAAATTTTACACTTTTTGATATTATATAAAACTCATTTTATTTATATATTATATCTTCGTTAACATAAACGCAAGTTAAATAATTCCTCGTTTAACAAACAAATAAAATACTTTATTTTCTTAATCACTCATTAAATGGACTATGAAATGTTCATATACATCAAAACAGTTGCTGTAGATGTTATAGTACAAAAAACAGTTTCAATTGAATTAATTCAAGTCTGCAATTATCTTGATATGTGAAAAAATGGAGCAGATCCATTTTTAAATATAACGACTCAATTATTGTATTAAGTTACTTATACGTCATGTTATTTTATTTTAGATATTATACCTATCAGTGCACACATTGGCGTAACCAAGGGGGTATATGGGATAGCGGTTTCTCTTAAAATTCTTAATTATTCTATTAAGTTGTTTGTACGTCATATTATGTTATTATAGATAATAATACACTCTTCAAAGTTAAAGAAATATCTCATGATAAAAAGAAGGCCACGAGTAAAGATCCCTCTAAATAGTAAAGATCCCCTCTGCTCTTTGACTATGTGAAAGAGCAGGAAGTCTTCTGAAGCAATGAAGTTTAATGCACAGACCTTTTTTATGTTTTTTATTGTACATGATATAATAATAGATATTGGAAACTTCATAAATTATGATATAAATTAGTTTTTGTTTTATTTTCTGGTTTTTATGGAAATTGTTGTTCCTTGTGGCTGGCCCTTTTCTCTCTTTATCTGGTTACGCCTATTTTTATAAATATTTTTTTCAAATAAATATGTATAATTACATATATAGATACGTATATATTATATTGCAATACAATGACATAAAATATATTAAATATAATGAATAGATACAGCAAAAAAAATATTTTTCCAGATGTTTTAGAGAAAAAATATGTTTGATTACGACTTTTTTTATTGCATATGATTATTTCTTTAAAAATTGTTAATTTTAAATTGAAATGGACATTATATTAGATTTTTTATTTTAGTTATATTTGCGTATTTTGCTTTTTGCATAACTAAGTTTATAAAGTTACATTACTAGAAATCCTTACGGATTGTTTTGTGAAGTTGTTTCGTCTTTCAGGAAGCAAAATAAAAATTATGTTTAAACTAAATTGAAAGAGTCTCCATTAGAGTGACCACATTACCAAAGTCCAATAATTTCATAATATTTTTATACTAAGCATTAAGCTTTCTTAAAAACATATATCAGACAAGGAACATATATTCGTTTATAGATTTCATATTTTATATTAAACTATAAATACAGGATCTGCCACTCAAATCTGTGGACCGGAACCTTATTGTGGATTAAGTTGGTCTGCAACTAGGTCTCTAACTGATAAATGGTTTTCAGCCGAGAGAAGTCGCTACTGGGGCGACAGTCGAGGTAACCGTTAGGTTTTGAGTTCCCTCTGCGAATTCTGTTTTACGTCTTCTATGGATTCAAAACGCGTTCCTCTGAGTGGTAATTTGAGTTTGGGAAACAGGAAAAAGTCACACGGTGCAAGATCAGGTGAATACGGTGGCTGTTCGATGGGATTTATTGAATGTTTGGCCTTAAAATCGTTGATAATGTTGAACAAATTGAGGTGAATCGGAACAAGCCGAGCGTTGACACGTCGCATACACAAATTGTCCCCCAAAATCAAACGAGCCATCTCACGACCGATGCCTAGCTCTCGTGCTATCTCTCTAACACTCACATGAGGATTTTGGAACACGATTTCCTTTGCCTTTTCAATGTTTTCGTCGGTGGTAGAGGTCGAAGGTCGTCCAGAACGCGGCATGTCTTCGACGGTCGTACGACCGTCCTGAAAGGCTTTGTACCACTCATAAACTTGAGTTTTCGATAAAACTGATTCCCCATAAGCCTTTTGTAGCATTCGCAAAGATTCTGCACACGAAATTTCGTTCGAAACACAAAATTTGATGCAAACTCTTTGTTCAATATTTTTTTCCATTGTTTTTTTCGCAACGCACTACTGAGGTGAACTGGTTTCAACAGCTGCCGTAAACGAACTGTCTGACAGATCGCGCTCATTTTTGGCATAGTAATTGTCCTTAATTGCTGCCAAACTACATAAACTTAAAATATCGAAAAATATACAGCGCGCGAATTTTAAATGAGAATTTCCGAAAGCTTTTCGGTCACAATGTATATATATATATATATTTTAAATTATTACTATATTAAAGTGATTGCTGTATATGCTAACTGTTCATGTTACTAAATATTAGTAATATCTAATACTTTAACTAACCTGTTTAACTATAAATATTATTTTTAAGGGTTTATAATTAAATTCAAAAGAAATCATTCAAGAGATTAATCAAGGAGTATAGTTTAGTCCCTATAATGTGGCGACATTAAAGTAATAAAGTGCATGTTCTCTTTGATTAGTTGTATAAGAAGTAACTACAATATATAGAATTTCAACTTAAAATGTTTATCTTCTTATTAAAATTTGAAGAATCTGAGTAAGAATAGTGTAGGATCAATTAACGACACTAGATTTAGTTGATATTAATATTAGATTTTATATATTCTGTAAATGCATATTTTTCTAAAAAATTCCAAGAAATAACACTGATACCTTAACGAACAAATAGTGTAATCTAAATATAACTATTTTATAACAATTTTTCATATGATATCATCATACCGTTTTAAAGTATTTATGTAATTTAATCAACGAGAAACTTAATTAGAATGACATAAGCCACACTTAATTACAACATTTATACTTTTTTATATTTTTATAATCTTTCTACCCTTATTTTTATTATTTGACATCTTTTGCAAGTATTAAGTAATTAGTAACTTTTTTATATATTA